AAGAATTAGCCAGAGCTGAGGAGGTGCCGTCCCCTTCAGGTGGGTGTCAGTACCAGAATGAGGGCAGGTGGGTGCCCACCTTCTTCAAAGAGCTGTTGAACCTCAAGATTCAATTGCAACCAGCAGTCCTACTACCCGGAGATGCTTGAGTGTTCCCTACCACATCCTCACCAGGTGGCCTTCTGGTCTCAGTTTGGCCCAGCAGGGCTGAGGACACCTTGTTCCAGGCCTTCCTTTTCTCATCCATGACATCTGCCTGTTCCCCTCTGGCAAAACTTATTCTTGTTGCTCTTTTCTGAAGTCCTCATGCTCCCCAGATGCCCTGGCTCTGCCCTGCCTGTCAACTAACTTATTCTTTCTGCTGCCTTCACATCTCCTCACTGTACTTCCCAAAAAACCACTCAAATACGCCTTTTCCATGCCTGATTCCCCCCCTGCCCTAAACAGGCACTGATGGCCTCAGTAGCTCAGGTGCCCCAGCAAGTTTATGAAGTCACCACAGTTTACTTATTTAGGATAAAGTCTCAGAGTTTGCCTTGAAACTGAGCCACAAGCACCTCTGTCTTATTGTAGTTTGCGCTCTTCCAGAAATAGAGCTGAGGCAAAGATTTGGATGCAACTAGTTTATTTGAGAGATAGAGGAAACCTCAATAGAGAGTGTGGAAGCAGGAGGAAGTCAACATAGGGTATCCTAACAAGTCAGTTACCACTGTGGACAGCGGAGCTGAACCCTGCCGGGGACCCTGGGAGACATGAGCACACATAGACCCCAGGGGACGAGAAAGTTGGGGTATTGATCCTCCATCTCCTGTCAGCCACTGAGGAAGGGCTGCTCCCAAGGGACATTAATTCCCCAACACTTTTAGCCTTTCACTTGGGCAGGCAAAGTGGGCTCTGGAGGCCTAAGGAAAACTCAAGGTAAATAAAGCAAGTAAGGTGGTAGGAAGTCAGCTGGCTTGCCTAGAAGTGCTAAGGACCAGCGAGTGTGGACTAGGCACCAACTGGCATCAGTTCTGACCTCCCCCTAAGAAAAGAGAGGTCTTTTAACACAATGACCTATTTTCTAGCCCTCAGGAAAGTTGAGGCTTGGAAAGAACCTTTGAAATGGAAGCCTCTGTAAAATCCCAAATGATCCACTAGTGTCCAGATGCCAGGAGGTCCCTCTTATTTTATCAGATTATAAAAAGAAAGACGTAAACATGTTATTTAACCGTGTGCTAGGTCCTGCCAGGCAGAGGAATTTGTGTTGGAAAATTACAAGATATATTACTTTATGACTTTTCTAAAAGTAGAGTCTATCTTACCTGTACATATGTGAAAATCTGCTGTCCTATAATTCTACATACTATGTTAGAGTGAGCCTTAAATGTCAACAGCTTAGCTGGAGCTGAATAACCATCACCATGTTGAGCAGACATGGTGATAAGTCATCGTTTTTGTATCACTGGATCCCAGTAGAGCTCAGCCAAATCTAAGCCTTCAGTCTGTGGCCAGTTCTTTCTGGAAGCTATTTGGGGTTACATTTTTCTGAACTCTTCTTTCTGATTTTTTAAAAATAGGCATTATTCTCCCCTCCTGCCAGCATTTATCTGATTCTTGGAAATTTTCCTGTCGCCTCAACTCCACAGGGAATTTAGAAGTCACCCTCCATCTCAGATTGATTGTGTGACAGCTTAAAATGGTTCCTGCTGCTTAACACATAATGAACGTAATGGGCATTTGTTTGCAAACTCTTAAACCCTAGTGCCTCCTTACAGGATTAAAATTGTAATTCTCTCGTTCTTTCTTTTTTAAATTCTAATTTGCATCTAGGTCTCTCATGACTTCGCAATCAACTTTAATGAAGACAACCCAGAATGCGCAGGTAAATCACATCACAACGTAAAAGAAAACCGGTGTCTCACAGCCCTTTTGTTTGCCCCTTTCCCATCTTAGTTTCTCTTCTCGGATGCAGTGTATCCGTTATGATTGTCCACAGCAGAGAAGTAGGCTGTCTGGACCCAAATAGACTATGCTACTCCAAAGGTGGCAGAGTCCTAATGACAGAGCAGAAAAATAAGAGCTGGAAAAGACAGAAAGAATGCAAAGAGGTCTTGAGCTTGCTGCAAGAATGTTGATCCCAATGTTGGGTTCCTCTGGCCAAAAACCATGGGGGATAGTTCACCTGATGGGCAGTGATAATACTCCTCTTTCTGCTTTCCAAGTTTTTACCAAGTATTTATTTTTTACAACGTCCTCTGTGAAGGTATAAGTGGAGGGTAGGGGAAGGAGATGGAAATCATTTGACACTTTCAGGATGTTGGCAAAGGATATGGCCTCAGTGACTTCAAACAAGAGGTTTCATGGTTTTGCACCAGAAAAAGCCTTTTCAGAGCCCCGTGGTCTGTGTGCCATTATTTCCAGCTAGAAGTTCCCCCCAACACCATTCCACAGAACAATGATGATGAATTGATGATGGTAACTATGATGATAAGTTTTATCCTAGAATTATTTTTCCTGCTCTCTAAATAACAAATAGAACCAAGTATGACTGTTGCTATAAAGAGTGTAAGACCTTGTCAAGGAGGAAGGGGGCTGAACCAGGGTTAATTCAGATCCAGTAAGGTGTGTAGAGCATTCAGCAGTTTCTTTCACCAATTTGGCACTTAATGTCCAAGAATATGACATCAGTATCATTGGGTCTGCGCATAATAACCTATGAGACCCGATCTCCATTCTGCTATTATTCCCTCTCATGACCCCTTATGGTCGAGGCTTTAATATGGTTTAGACTTCACTCATCCCTAAGCACCCATTCTTTTTTTTTTTAAGATTTTATTGGGGAATCAGGGAAGGGGAACAGACAAGTTGCTGTCCTTTTGTTCTTCAGTCTAGTTGTGGAGGACGTCGCTTCACTGGCCCATGTTGGTATTATCATTGTGCTCTTCCCGGGTGAGGCAACCACTTGCCGGCCATTGGACAGCTGCTCACGGCAGCTCACGAAAGCTCACACCCACTGGGGCCAGCCCCACTGCAGCCTACGACTTCGCCGGCAACTCATGGCAACCCAGCTCCAGGTCGAGCTGTTGTTCACCATCTTAGCTGTAGAGGGCGCAGCGTCACTCGCCCTCATGTGGGATCCGAACCTGGGGCCCAGCTGCTCAGAGCTGGCGTCCCAAGCCAACTTCTAACCAACGCGCCACTCGGCCTGCCCCAGCACCCCCATTTTTCAACTATAAGAATGGTTTTTCACCAAAGCAGAGTGAAATACCCAGTGTTCCCCTGTTTCACACTCTTAGAAATCATCTGCCTGATACTTTTGAAAGAGAAGTCCAACTTGCTTATCGTAGACAAACTCAAGAGCCAAACAAGAAAAAAGAGCTTCTGTTCAGTATCACCTTCAGAGCCACGCTGCACAATGATATGACATCTGTCTTTACAGTGGCAGGCTTTGGGACAGGGCAAAGAGGGTGCAGCATTTCCAGTGGGGTTGGAAGCATGCATATCAGGGTAGAACAGACAGAACCTGCTTATCCCAAATACCCAAGAGCTGGTCTGCAATGCATGGCGGGTACGGAAAATCACCTCAGGGGGCGCTTGCGTGGATCCCTCTGGCCAAAACCAGGACCAGTGTGCTGTTTCAGGACAGAAAGGGATAGGAGGATGAACTGAAGCAGGAGAAGGCAAGAGGTACCAAGGGCATAGACACTAAGAGGAGCCATTTGAATAAAAATCATTAGTAATGGGACTCTTATTATGAGATTATGATTATAACATTAAATGTGCAGTCAAGACTCATAAAATTCTAGGAGAAGCTACACAGTCAGGACTGCTCTCCAGCAGAGTCCCACCCTTTACTATTTCCTTGGCTTACATGGCCTCAGGATGGAAGCCCCACTTTCAATGAGGGGTTGTCCATGGTGATAGATATCACTCGTCTACCCTACAATCCCCCACAGATGATATGTCAGCCATTTTGCTCCTCCATCACACAGTTGGTGAGCAGCTACCATGTGCCCATCCTGCCTCAAGAACTTTGAAGGAGTAAGTCACAATTCCTGCCCACAAGGACTTGAACATGCACATAACACCTATAGGTGGCCCGGGGTGGTGTATACTACGGTAGAGTCAACAAAGTGGTGTGAAAACTAAAGGAGCATTAAAGCTGACTTGGCTAGTGGCTGAAAGCACAGCACTTAGAGGCAGGCAGACCTGGGTTTGAATTATGAGTGTCCTGGAGCAGATCATTTAACCTCTCTAAGCCCCAGTTTCTTCCCCTGTATTTGGGAGTAACATCTATTTCATTAGGCTATGAGGATCTAAAGAAATCTTATGTGTAAAGTGGGATGCCAGGGAAAAGTTTGTGGAAAAGATTGCTTTTGGCTTGAGCTTTAAAGAGAACAATTTCACTGGGGGTAGAGGCAGCAACATCAGCAATGTAGTATTTTTTTTTTCTTATCTTACAAACATAAATGTGATGTCGATGAGGACCCTTCGGGGGGAATTTAATGCTTTATTTATGTGTGTGTTTGATTATAAATAAATTGGAGGGCTCCATTGATCTTTTCCAATTTCACCTTAGGAATTCAAGGAGTTGTGGAAGCCTATCAGAGCTGCCTTCCTAAGCTCCAACTTTATGGCCCCACCAACATTGCCCCCATCATTCAGAAGGTTGCCAAGTCAGCATCAGAGGAGACTAATACCAAGGAAGCATCGGTAAGGAGAGGGACAGTTCACCGTCTGATGGGAATGTCCCCTTTCTCACCTAGATATTGGCCACAGTACCCATCCCATTCTGATGATAAATTTCAGCATTTCTACCTGTGTGAGTTTGGACAAGTGACTTAACCCTCCTCTATCCTCAGTCTCCTCATCTGAAAAATAAGGATAAACGTACCCATTGCTGCAGGGTCATCGTGAGGCTTAGAGATGACACATCTCAAATGCCTGCAACAGAGGAGGCACTTAACAATGGAAGTTACTATATTCGCTGGAGTGTATGTCATGCCCACATTTTGTTCCTGGGAAGGAAAAAAAAAAAACTTTCTAAAAATAAACTGGTTTTCTAGTGTACCCATACTACAGACGGAGGTGATGCAAAACAGAAGTAAAACAATGGGTGATACTACCCTCTAGTGCTCAGGTGCAGCAACACAAAACATCGTAGCAAAGATTTGTTTTATATTCTAGTTGTGGTTTTCTTAAGAAAAATGCAAACTAAGGCTACAAGGCCAAATGGAACTTGCTAATATTTTAGAGTTAAATATATTACCATAATAACTTTTCTGTGTATTATTTTTAATTATATCAATATATTTCTTTTTAAGCTTTATGACCTTTTTTCAGATTTAGTAGACAATTATTGATGTCTGAATTTTTTTCTGACTTTATCCTGGGTTCCTAGGTATTGCATTAGCATAAAGGAAATAATATACTACTCCATCTTCTTACATCAGCTCATCTGAGCTCCTTGCTCTGTACCCATGTTCTCAGCCTTCCCTCATGTTAGATGGATGGAGAACCATGCTTATATGTAATGCCAGCCTCTTCTCTTGCGTCCTGGAGTACATCCCCTCTCAATTATCCAAAGACATTGACCCAGAGCAGCTGTATTCCCTCTCTCTCCTTACCTATTTCTTCTCTTTCTATTGAAGACTCATTCCCATTTGCAAATAAAACATCCTATAATATCTCCTGTTTAAGTTAAAAATCTTTCCCTTGACACCACTGTATCCCTTAGCTACTGTGCCTTATTTTACTTTCTTTGAGAGCAAAATTCAGTGAAAAAGGTGCCTATGCCACTGTCTCCATCTCTCCTCCCATTGGTTTCTCCAATCATACCAGTCAGACTTTCCTCCCCAACATTCCTCTGAAAACTATACTTGTCAAAATCTCCATCTTGCCAAACTCACAGAGGACTTGGAGCAAATTTGAGTCCTCACAGGTGCAGGATTTGGGGATAAGGGTTGGACAGGATCAGTATTTCATTCTATTTTTTAACTTTTTTATCATCAGAACTTTAAATTCAAATTCTTCAAACGATACTGCCTTGCTCAGAAAACCAATGCATAAAACAGATTTTAAGAAAACAGTCTGTTCTTAACTAAATCTGGGCTAAGAGGTGTGGTTCAAATTTGTCTGTTCTTCTTTACCCCCTTTATCTCCAAGAGCACCCAAGGCATAGCCAAGGCTCCCTGGAACCCAGATTGAAAATAGAAATCATCTCAGCCCCTCTGAGGTAACAGGACCTACAAGAGTAAAAAGAGAACAAGGCTGCCATAGGTCTGGGTTCAGGCCTGATGTTAGCTAGCATGAGTTTTGAGCTATCATTCACTCCCCCAGGGACAGGTAGTCTGCTCTGTAAGGACAGGCCAGGAAATGGTACAGGAAGCATCTAATCCACATAGCTCCCAATAAATGACCCCCAGAGGCCAGGAGCAATGATTCTTTTCCCCAGAAGTTTCTCCTGTTCTTTGAACAATGTGATCCGGGACCCTTTGTCATCACTGATTGCTAAGGATCCTAAACTTGAACATATTAGACAACTTGTACCAGGGAGTCTCTGGCTGTAGAATTTTCTCCTCAATTTTGTAGAACTCTTCTAGACAGAAAAAAAAAAAAGTCCCTTCCTTATCTAAATAGGACTTCACATACATTCAAAGACTTTAGTTCATCCATAAGCATTTTCCTAGCCTGGCTTTGGAAGCAACTGTTCCTGCTAGCTTTACTGGAAATTTCCATCAGGGTTTCAGTCTGGCAGTCCACAGCCTGTTACCTCTAGCTCCTTTAAACCTGGATCAGATTCTAGAATTCTGACAATCTCTTCAGATCAGGGGTTCTTAACCTTTTTTGTTTGCAGCTGGGGAAGTCCATGGACCTCTTCTCAGAAGTGTTTTTTAAATGCACAAAATAATATGTGCTCCATATAAAAAACGATTAATAAAATATTTTACATTTTTTGTACTAAGTCTTCAAAATCCAGTGCCTATTTCACACTTGCATCATCTTCATTTGGATGCTAGTTATCATCACAAATATTTGATCTTTATTTAGACTTTGTAAATGGATAGTTGAGAAAATAGATTGACAGCGGTGAGTTGTTCCAAACATACTTAAAAGGCTTTGAATAACTGAATCCGGTATCCATTTTTAAAGTTAAATTTAAATTCATTAAAATGAAATGAAATGAAAAATTCAGTTCTTCCATTACTCTAGCCACATTTCAAGGGCTCAGCAGTTCCATGGAGCTAGTGGCTATTTTATTGGGCAGTGCAGCCTTAAACTCTTAAAAATCTCCAAACTGAAGAGACTGTACAAATGATCTAGTCCCACCCCTCATTTGAGAGATGAAGCTGAGATTCAGAGGAGTTAAGGGATTCTCAGAGAATGAGTTTTTGAAGCCAGTCCTCCGGACTCCTCTCTGCAGCTCTCCGCCACACTGTGCTTTGTAACTGTCACTAAGGTGATTATTAGAGGTAGCCTGCAATTACTGTGCCTGCCTTTAAGCCCCATTCATCATTACCTTAAGCCTTTAGGGCTGTCGGCACAAGCACTCAAAAAAAGTGTGACGCCACAATTGCTACAGTCAGTATGCACTGAAGCCGCCCTGGTGCATAACATATTGTCCTTGTCTCCCCCACTTCTCTGTCCCCATCATCACCTGGCATCCAATTGATTGCAGCAATACTTCATCCTGTTGATCCTGACCGATGGCGTCATCACAGACATGGCCGACACCCGGGAGGCCATCGTCCACGCCTCCCACCTCCCCATGTCAGTCATCATCGTGGGAGTGGGCAATGCTGACTTCAGTGACATGCAGATGCTGGATGGTGACGACGGGATTCTGAGGTCGCCCAAGGGAGAGCCTGTCCTTCGAGACATTGTCCAGTTTGTGCCCTTCAGGAACTTCAAACACGTACGTATATCTCGGGGGCTTCCCATGGGAGAGCAGAACCAAAATAAGCTCACTCTCTACACGTTTCCACCAGTTTGTAGTGAAGCAACGCCAACTATCCATGCCTAGGCCAGGCCATCTTCCACACAGACTATGCAGAGCTTGACTCTTTGGAGATAAAAGTGTAGCTTGAATTATAGATGAGAAGTCATGCCAACTATGGTAGCCAACATTTCACTGGTATTTGCTACCATCCATATAGTTTAGGATCTCTAGTGCCCTCAGGGCTGCCGTGGACAGGTGGGCAGGTTGTTCCCTGCCCAAAGGTGCCTGACTGACGTAGCAAGAAGTTGAAATTCAGCCTGGGTTCTGCTTATCAAGCCATGTGTCCTGGTCTGTGCCTTGGCAAAGTAAATTTTCAACATGATAGAAACTTAAATCCTCTATAAATGCATAGTAAGCAGCATTAAAAACTTACTTAACTCACTAAGGAGGGAACCAGTAAGATGACAAAGCTAATTCAAAGGAGGATTTAAAACAGCTGATTATGGTTAGTGGGGAAAATGCTGGAGTATGTTTGCTAAAACAGAATCAAAACTGGTTAATGACCAAAAGGGTTAAAAAAATAAATAGACTTCGGGTTACCTCCTCTACTGGACAGAAATCTTCTCGATATTCTATAAGTTAATGTCTAGCTTTATAGTCTTGGGCTCTAATCAATAATAAATAGTAAGTCAAGCAGTGTTATATTCCCTGATGACCCCAAAGCAAGTGCATTAGGCAGTGCTCCAGTGTGACATCAGGAAGTGCTCAGTAACAGTGTTTTTTTGCATTTCCAAATTTTGGATACGTATTAACTCCACAGAGGAAAAGGCACCTTTAAATTTTTGACAACACCCTGCACCTATGGGACTGCGGTTGCCCAGAGGGACACCTTCTCTGATTCACACAAAGGCTCCCTTAGGGCTGGTGCTGGCCCTGAAGAACCCTTTGGAGCCTCCCACAGACGTGTCTGGGAGTCCCTGTGGGTAACGTGGGTTGTCACAGACAGTCCTCTGTGATCTTTTGTTCCGTACCTCTTGTGAAATCCACTAAAGAGCAGAGCATGCCCTGCCTCTGCTCCCACTGCAGCCTTGCCCTCTGCACCGCTCGTGGTGCCGGCAATGCCCCTCCCAGTGGCTGCTCACTGATCTTGAGCTGCCCCCCGAGTACAGAGTCTCCAGACTCCTCAGTGACGTGAAGCAACTCTGCAGTCCCCCTGGAAATCCCCTCCTTTCCATGCCGCAGTGACGCCCCGTCACCTGGACTGTTAATGCAGTGAAGTCTGTGTCCCCACGTCTCAAGGATCTCTGCTGGAAACACCTTCTTTAGCTTCTACTGCAGCCCTCCGTCCTCAGGCCTGAGGTTGATTATTTAGAGTCCTGGAGAGGAAGGGACAGCCAGTATGCCATCCACTCCGAGCTCTCCCTCCTGATGCTTTTTTGGAAAACCATTTCTCCTCAAGCCAAAAACCCTCATTCAAATGAATCCCTGACATTGTCCTAGCCAGTTTGTGAGGCGTGTCCAGGCACAGCCGAAACCCATTGTGGGCCCAGGCTGGGATCCCAGCTACACTGGGTAAAGTAAGTAGAAGAGGTGGAAGGATGGATGGGTCCTTGTTTACATGGATAAGTCCCAGTGCCCGCATCGGAGCCTTTGGCCTGAGCTTTTCATAAATGAGCATTTGTTCCGCTGCCTACCTGGGACAGGCTTTCAAGCAGCATTCAAGTAAAGCACAAGCCCAGTGGCCTCCACTGAAGCCGAGACCTCATGACCTGTCAGGACCACGTGGGGAGGTCCCTGTACACTCTGGGGCTCCTTGAATGATGAGGCTTTGCTCATAGCTACTGCCACACAATTACGATTCTCCTCTTAAGGAGGGCTGCAGTGTGATTAGAATCATTAAAAGAGCATAAATCAATCCTTGGCTACTGAGCTGAGTGCAAAAGGAGTTCCGAGTAACAGCAGCAACACCCAGCCCCCCTGCAAGGGGGGAAGTGAGCATGGACGAGGGGTGACTTGCCTCCATAGCCCATCTGCCCCTTGCCCAAGAAGGAGGTTTCCCAATGAAACCACTCATTAGATGAAAGAGGCTCACCAAGTCCTCGGAATGTCTGCACGTGGCCAGGAAGGAGTGGTGTCCCCTACACGGAAGGATGTGCTCGGGTAGGCTGACTGCACTGCAGTTGTGTGCATCTATAAATCTCCCTATTTGCCTGATGTCCAAAGTGGGGAGAGGGGTGTCCTTCCAGATTTTGATGTCCTGCCCATTTTGCCAGCCAGACAGCAGTAGCCACAGCAATCACTGACCACCATTCATAACTTTGCCTGAGTGCAGAGGGGCCAAAGACCTCACTCCCTAGGAGATCCATGCATTTCCCCCAAACCCTCTCCCTGCCCCCTACACACACACACACACAGGTATGCTAAAATAATGCCACCGAGCCGTGCAAGATTCCAACCTCCTCCCCCAAGACCTCTTCTTCTTCAAACATTGATGGAGCACCTACTGTGTGCAAGGCATGTGCTAGCAGTGGGGCCACGGCAATATGATAAAGCCAGGGGTCCAGTCTTCAAGAAATTTACTGGACAAGTGCACAGTTGGGTCATAGGTGTCAGCAGAAAAATCCCATACTCAGCAATCCATGGGTAGTTGAAAAGGGCTGAAATGTTGCTACAGAACTTTAGAGCAGAGAGAAGCAGCCATGAGGAAAGCCCTACAGCTTGAGCTGTAAGGAAGAGCCTAGGCAAGCGAGGTGGAGGGGGGGGGGAGGCATCAGCAACAGGGAAGCTCCCTGTTCAGGGCCAGGAAGTGGGCCCCCGCTCACTGTCTCTGTGCTACTCAGCCTCCAGCTCCTCCCTGGATGACTAAAGCAGAACACCGGGAGCATATCATCCACCTGATCTTCATGGGCTTCAAATTAAATTTTGAAAACCATTTCATTATCCAGACTAATCTGCACTGAATTCAATAAGCCATAAATAAAATGAAAGATGAGGAACTGATACATTGCATATAAGCCCATAACCCATGAGTCGTCTCTCTTTTCTGCTCTGCATGATAACAGAGCTATGAAGTGGACAGGGCCCAGGCTCTGAGCTATGTGACTCTGGGCCTGTTAATGAACCTCTCTGTGCCACAGATTTTCATCTGTAAAAGGAGGCAAATGATGGCACATGCACTGGAAGATTAAAGGTGATGTCCATATAAAGCTTAACACAGATGCCTGATCCCTATAGGTGGTTCATAAATACATCTGTTCTTACCAACTGATTTCACATTTTTTGGCCTTTTCCTAACCAGCTAGTAACCCCCAAGCTCCATTTGCTCACCAGAACCACCAGGACAAGTATGCAAAGGGGTGGGAGAATCGCTTAGAGACTGTGTGTCCAGTGCTGTCCACATGCAGCTATTGAAATTTATTAAAATTAGATTAAAAGTTCAGGTTTTCAGTTGCATTAGCTACATTTCAAGGGTTCATTAACTACATGTGTGTAGTGGCTACTGTGTTGGACAGCACAGATATAGAATATTTCCATCATTAAAGCAAATTCTACTTGATGACATCACTTTTTAGGAAAGTTTTTGTCTCCAAATAACAGCAAATCCATTCACTCATTACATGAGTGGTTCTTAACCAAGGGTGACTTTGCTTCCCAGGAGACATTTTTGATGGTGACACTTGTGGAGTGCCTAATGAATCTAGTGGGTAGAGGCCTGGGATTTTGGTAAACATCCTACAATGCACAGGACAGTCCCCCTCACAAAATATGATCTGGCCCAAAATAGCAAAAATGCCAAAGCTGAGAAACCCTGGATTACATAGGTACAAATATATTTTTCGCATGTAGCTGAAAGTTAGGGTTTGGAGGCTGCTGACATTTGTGTTTCAGTGATTCAATAGCATCAGGGCCATCGCTTGGTGATTCCCTTTGCTTTTGCCTCATAATGATAAAATGGTTGCCATAGCTCCAGGAATCATGTCCTAGCTCAAGAAAAACAGGAAGAGGAAAGGAAAACAGAGCCAGCCATGTCTGCGCCCTTTAACCAGGAAAGAGTAACTTTCTAAGAAGCATCCTCCAGGAAACTCCCACTTATGTCTCAAAGGATTAAATGGGGTCGCACGACATCCCTAATACGAGAGTGGCTGGGATATCAAGTATTTGGCTTCTAACTTTTATATGAAAGATGACCAGAGAAAAGGGGTGGGAATGATTTTTGTATCTACCCCATTGTATGCATGGATCATGATCTATGTGTACACAACCCTGAGCAGTGATTTATAAAATAAAAGAGCATTTATGGATGCCCAATGTCCAATATGCTAGCACGTCTTCAAAATATGAGGGATCACTTTAGAGTAACTCCTCCCAGTGTTTTCAGAATGTTAAGACATGCGTCTCTTATTTTGAGCCTCTTAAAATCTTTGTGCAATGCAGTGACTTCTTACTCTTTCCTATTCTGTTTCTGAGAACGCCAGGACTTAGCAAAGTTGGATAACTGAGTGACAAGCCACATAGAAAGGAGCGAGCTAGAAACCAGGTCATCTGGCAGTTATTCCACCCTCTTTCCTTCAGGATCTTTTCTAAGGAATCTCAAACACTTGTTAACGGCTCAGCCTGCTTCAAGGTTTCAAACTCTTCAGTATTTATAATGAGACTCATAATGAGGGTTGGGCAACTTTGCTTTCCCAGGCGTTGAGCAGTTAGTACTGAATACCAGAGTCACAAGTCAGCTGTGCATGACTCCAGAGTTCACGCAAGATATCAGCCTCCACCTTCCTCTGCCTCAGATCATACAGTGGAGCCATAATGCTGATAGAATAAAAGCTACTTTAATTAGGGTGATGGCGTTCAAGACCCTCCATCACCTGGCCTTAAGTTCATTTTCCAACTGAATACCACACCAGCCCTGCATCCCCAACACACACACACACACACACACACACACACACACACACACACAGCCCCATCAGATGACTCACTGTCCCTAGAACAATCAAATGTCAATCCCCTCCTTCTCTACATTTTAAGACATACCCAACTTAAATGCCACCTCCTCTTGGAAGCCTGCTCTGATTTCCTCCCAGGTGATTTCATCTTTATTTTCTGTGGTCTGGTCACATAGGGTTCATGACTCTCTGGAGCAGTGCTTCTCAAATTTCATATGCGTAGGAATCACGCGAACATCAGGTTAAAATGCAGATTCCCATTCAGTAGCTCTGGAGTGAGTCTGATATTCTGCATTTCTAATAAGCTCCCATGTAATGTGATGCTGCTGGTCAGTCTGTAGCATGGATTGTGTTCTACCTCATAACAAAATTTATTTTGGACACACCAGGTTCCTTTCACAGGATTGTAACTTCCCTAATAGCAAGAACCATAGACCCCATAGACCTTGAACAAAAGTAAGTGTCTGGAATTGAATGTAAATCAGAAACAGAACTGCCAGACAATTCATCCTGCCATCCAACTTTCACCTATATTCGGATGTGAATCGTTTTGTATTTTGAGACAGGCATGAAAAAAATCTAATTAGAAAATTAATGGTTCGTTTTCCAATGATCTGACAACTCTTGCTTGGAGTAGACCCTCAAGAAATAATGAATGAATGAATGAATGAATGAATGAATGAATGAATGAATGAGACTAGCTGCTCAGAACGGTACTCAAGTCTTTTAGGCTGATTCTTGATCAGATCCCTGTGGCCAGGTGCCAAAGTCATGATGATTTCTTCTTCCCTGCAGGCATCTCCAGCTGCCCTGGCAAAGAGCGTGTTGGCTGAAGTCCCAAACCAAGTCGTGGACTATTACAATGGCAAAGGGATTAAGCCGAAGTGTTCCTCAGAGATGTATGAGTCTTCCAGGACACTAGCACCGTGAACCCCACGCACTTTTACAGAGTTCTGAAATACTATCCCTGCTAATATTTAATACTTCTACTACTCCAGTACTTAAAAGAAAACACACATACGCATTTAAAAATAGCACGTTTTGGTGATTTTTAACTAACTGACAATTTTTTTGCATGTGTAGCCCTAAGGCCTGGACCTGTTAAGCCCTTGTATTGTTAAAGACTTTTTACAAAGAAACACAAATAATTACAACATACTCTTGATAGCATGTCGCCTTGAAATAAAATGGTATCTGTATCCATTTTTTTATACAGGTTTGTTGAAATTTTGCTAAATTTCTTATTATCTTTACACTGTAAAGCATTTTGAAACATTTATTGGATGTTGATAGCCAAAATATACTTGGTTTTATCTGCTGCAGGGTGAGAGACTTTTCAAAATGGCAGATGCATGGACTGTATTTTGCATGTTTAAAATAAAAAAAAAACCCACCCACACTGTTTTTGCAGTTGTTATCTATAATTCATCCCTGCTGAGAGTGGTTTCTCTATTGAAGAAGAGGTTTACCCACCTAGAGGTAGTCTTCTTGACGTGGGCCTGGGGCACTTAGCCCAGCACCTCTCAGACATTACTGTGTACGCAAATCACCTGAGGCTCTTGCTAAAATGCAGATTGTGATGCAATAGGTCTGTATGGGACCAAGCTTCGACAGCTCTGACAAGGTCCCAGGGGATGCAAAGCTGTCCTCAGACCACACTAAGAGTACTGAGGTTCTAGACTTTAGGGTGTAATCGTAGAGACCTTCCGAAACAGGGCAGCACGTAGTCCGCTAGAGAATGGCGCCTCCTCCCCGCCAGTAGCACAAAGGTCCCGCCTGTCTCCAAAGTGGGAGTAGAAAGTGATGAGACTGATGCCAGAATCGGCCCACCCCAAATCAGTCTCACTGCTTTACAGTCGCACCACTCCCTTCAACAGATAAGGGAGTGCTCTTCCTGACTGGCCCCTGCCTTCTTACAGGCGGCATCTCACACCTTGCATGAATGGTTCCATGCCTATGTCATTCCCTAGGAATGACCTCTGAAACTCTTCAATAGAACCACAACAGTGGAGACGTCCATGGCCAATGGCTATGCAGTGTGGCTCCCCAGAAATGTGGCCCACCACGTTGGTTTTTAAGCTTAGAGTGGGGCTTCCTTTTGCCTCTTTTTATCACTCCGAGAGCAAACTCTATGAGCAGGAATGCCTGGAATCATTGTTTTAGGTAAAGGTGTTTTGTTTCAATATAAATTGGCCAGTCTTCAAATGGAAGAATGAATGTTTTACGTGTATAATCTTCTCACAGAAAAATGGACAAGTGTTTGCAGGCATAACAGGCACAAGATGGAACTTATTTTTTGGTCAGAGGGATGGGGAAATAAATCACAGGGCAAAATAGATCTGCTTGTTGTTTGTTGGGGGCGGAGGGAGTATTAACAAGCAAATCAAATGCCTTGCATAATTTCCAGTGTTATAATTATAGATCCTAACCTTGCAAATACATGTCAGCCAAATGCACAACATTTTGGGAATGATGGTAAAAATGTATGACTGAAAAAAATCATAAATATTTAAACTGTATTGTTTTATGAATAAATTGGGTACTTACAGAAGTTTTTCTGAGAGTTACAGTCTTGTTTCTCTTGTCAAGGCATTTTCCTAGCAGTGATTTATGTTATGTAGATGACATGGCCTCAGATTATGACTAGCTCTTTCCCAGTCCCATAGAAACCTGGATCATTGCTTTTAACAAACAAAGAATTAAAATATGTGGGGCTGTTTCTAGCCCCAAAGTAGGACATGAGCTTCCTTGTCTGTGTGTCTGGAACATAGTAAGCACTCAATCAATGTTTAACAAAGAGATGACTAACCAAATGAGTGAATGTATGCACGAATGAATGAATAGACTTGATAATGTGTTTCGTGATCGATCTGAAATCCATCATAGATGTAAAGGTGGATTGAGTAGCTGTGGCTGTCAATCAAAACAATGCACTATGTCATCTTCAAATATCTCTTGGGACCTATTATATTATAATGCATTCGTGTCAGGACTCTGAGGTGGAGTGACAGAAACAAAGTCCAATTTGCTTGGCAGAACCTTATGACAGTTTACTTCCCTTTTCATAGTCAGACTGAAGCCCACCTCAAAAGAATAATAAAAATAGTAGCTAACAATTTTTTGAGGGCTTACTATATGCCAGCCACTAAGTGCTTGTCACTTCCTATCTCATTTAATTCTCCCAACAGCCCTATAAGGTCATTAGTATTATCAGTCTCATTTTGCAGACACAGAGAGTTTGGGTAAGTAACCCAGGGTCACACAGCTATCAAAAGGCAGAGCCAGGATTTGAACACAGACACTCTGGCTCCTGAGCCCAAATTCATTGTATCACCCCCATTTCAGCCACCCTCCTAGCACTATACCCATCCACCTGCCATATTAAGAAGCAGATTATTAAGAGAGTTGAGAGAATGAGCCTTAAAACATGAATCATTTCAGAACTGTCTTCTCATCTGGTGATATCAGCTTTTTATTGTGGGCTCTTAGCATCTTGGATGTACAACATCTCCCTGGAAGCAGTGGAAGAGTCTCAGAATGCAACCAGGCCTTCCCTTCTTGCCACCAAGGAGACCACATAGATGGAACATAACAAACGCAGATGCTCCCAGGATCTGAGCAAGCCATGTGAACAACCGAGGAGGACCAGGTTCAAACTAAGGGACATAAGGAGTACAGAGTGGTGAGGATGGAGGGAAGCTGGAAAGCATGTGTCCAAAAGAGGGGCAGCTACCACCCAACTCCAGGGCCCACGCACAAGTGTGGACCCAATGCTAGCAGTCCATCCACTCTTACAAGAGCACTGAAAAATCTGGTGTTTCACATAAAACCCACCAATTTGTAGAGATGGAAATCTCACTCAAAATTAAACAATTGTTTTAGACACTGCAAGGGCCAAACTGTATGAGTCAGATGAGAAACACCTCTGGGCTTACGTTGGCTCTGGAGTGCAAATTTGGAACCACTGAATGATATCTGTGACCTGTCCTCCACTGGGCCTCAATGAATACTATAAACTCTTAAATTCTTGAGGACACCAAAGAGATTTGATTTCTAGGTATATGTCTATCGGTATTTGCTGTATTAGAAAATGAAACTGCAAATGTACTATGTTAGTTCATTGAAACAGCAATGATAAGCCCATTCCATGTTAACATAAATAAAATATTTTTATTAAAAAACCTATGTTTTTCGAAACCAAAACCTAATCAGTGAGACAAGCAGCACTGTACCAGTGGTCACTTGCTTAATAAAAGGCAGCTGGATTCTCATATTTGCTTCTTCATTCAACCTGTTGTAAAATGATGTTTTGGTTGAAGTACAATAAGAAAATCTAGCCTCACACGGCAACATAGTTCATAAGAAGAGGAGTGTTTTTAGTTTTCTCAGATAACTATGCTTATTTTTTTTTGCCACATGAAAACTCAACAAGTGGTAGTTTCTTAAAGGCTAGTTGCAATGTAACATATGAAATCATATCAATAAACTTTTCCTGGCATTTTCAATGGCTCTTTTACCCATGCATGATTTTGTAACATTATGCATTGGTCATTTTAAAAATATTGACCAACTCAGTTAATCAGATGTTCCAAATGCTCACACACTTTATTTTACAATGTTTTTTTAAAAATCACATTATTTTGCTGCCTAATATCACTATCAGTTTATCACACAGTCTTTAAGCATTGGGAACCTGCCAAATAACAGTGGCAGAATCAGGTTTTCCAAAACTCCAAACTTTTCTAGAAAGCTCAAATGTTCTCACTGGCAACAAATATCGTCAGTTGCTTTTCTTGAAGTGACAGGCTCCACTTCATTCATTTTTCAAGAAAATATCTCCCACATACGCACATCTGAATAACTCTTTATCTGTCAGCCTTTTCTTTTCAGGTAAAAAAGGATGTTCCGTGAAAGAAAGAAAAAAGAAGCTAGCTAGCTCCGGTCACAACACCATGGCACACGTGCTCTTCTTTGAGGCAACCATCTCGGGGTGGAATTCAGCAGAAATGGGTGCTTTGCATTTTGTCACCCAGCATATGAAAAAGACATGAGAGTCAAGATTTTATAAAAGTAATCATTGTTCCGCTCCTTCAAGAACACCCTTAAGTGAGACTGCATGTTCTTTCCTGCAAGGGCGTGAGGGTGAAAAATAAGTGACCACTGGTGCAGTGTCACATGTCATCTTCTTAAAGTGAGCTAGGAATCCAGCAGTTTTACCTGCCGTTGCTTATGCACCGTTAGTGCAAATGTCAACACAGCGAAAAAGGCAAATCACATCTTCGTGTTATTGTGGAAATAGCTTTTACCTCACAGACTCCCGGAAAGGGTCTCGGGGAACCTTCAGGAACCACACTTAGAAGGGCTTGCTCCAGACCACTTGACAAGTGTGTGTTGGCTTGCTATTTCTGCATAACAAATTACCACAAGCTTCGTGGCTTAAGACAGCACACATTTATTGTTGCAGTTTCTGTAGGTCAGAAATCCAGGGAGACTCAGCTGGGTCCTTTCAGCCTCATAAGGCTGAAATCACAATGTCAGCAGGACTGTATTCCTTCCTGTAAGCTCTAGGAAAGAACCTGCCTCCCGGCTCATTCAGGCTGTTGGTTGAAGCTGTAGAATTAAGGTCCTCCCATTTCCTTGCTGGCTGTCAGCTGGGGAAAGGCAGGTCAGGGTGGGGGTGGGAGGAGAGGCAGTGTTTCTAGAGACTTTCCACATCCCTTCTCCTGCTTTCCAATATGGCCCCCTCCATCACTGGTGGGTCAAGTACCTCTCAAACATTGCATTTCTCTGACCTTTTCTGCAGCATCTTACTCCAGCCAGCAAAAGTTCTGTTGTTAAGGGTTCGTGTGATTAGATTGGACCACCCAGATAATCCAGGATTCGCTATCCTAAAATCTATAACCTTAATGACACCCGCAAAGTCCCCGGTGTCATGTGACATAATGTGCTTAGAGGTTCCAGGGATCAGGGCTTGGACATGTTTGAAGAGCCCTTCTGCCTACCACAATGGAATGCAGGATATTGCCAGATGATTCTAAAAGGAAACGTGGGTGTTCGAAAACTGTAAGAGGGCTGCCCACAGAGACAGGAGAATATGGATGAAGTCAAGGAGTGGTGGTAAAAAAAAAAAACAAAAAAAAAAACCCAAAATCTGTTGATTCCAAATCTCTGCCCAGAAAAGCTTATTGTAAATCTGTTTGAACAGCTCCCCCTTCAGTGTTCACAGCATGGAGATGGGGATGGAGGCGTGGGAGTTAAGGAGGCAGAAGGAAAAATACATGGTCTCTGCTTCCAGAGAAGCTCACAGCCTAGAGCTGTTCATTATGCTAGGACTTGGGAATCCCATTAGGCATGCCTTAACATTTAAGACATACAATATCGAAGAACTTCCTCATGACGATGTTCATAAACACTGAAAGCAGAAGAGTGGTGAAGGGAAGAACCCAAGTCTCCCCCAGAGAGCAGAGCCCTGTCTTACTTCTGTACTTTTGGGTCCTGTTATTGGCGTCCAATACATGATGAGAGGATGAAGGAATAAATGAGTAAGAGGAGGTACCCCTCTGGGGGGCGCGGAACCAGGGGTGGGCTAGAACGTACCACAGTCCTCTGAGAACCACGGCTGCTGAGTGCAAACCAGGTCCCGGGACATCAACTTCCATTGCACCAAAATTCTGTTTAACACCAAGATTTCCAGGCAAACACTATTAAGTACAACAAACCTATAACACAAGAGAATGAGACGAGTGTCTTAAGGTTTATGTAGCACAATGACATAATCCAGATATCTCCAAAAAAATATTCTCTAGCTTTCCACTAAAAACCCCAATAGAATAGAGTGATGAAAATGTTATGGAACTAGGTAGAGATGGCGGTTCACTATATTGTGAATGTATGAACTGTCACCAAATTGTCCACTTTCAAATGGCTAATATTATGTTGCATATGTTATGTTACATCAATTTTACCTCAATTAAAAAATATATATTCCAATACCACACAGTTTATTACACTAGCATGCAATTCAATCACTCACAGGTTCCCGTCCCACACCCATCCTCACTTCGCACTTTGGATTTGGCTCCAGGTTCTTTTGCTAATCACCTCCCCCCACTTGTATCGCATTAACACATTTCTGGGCTGCCGCATTTTTCTTTAAATTATACTCCACCTCCTACTTCCCACAAACACCACCATGGACACAGTTCCCTTGCTTAATTCCCCAAAGTCCAGTCAAGAACAGACAATAGTGCTTGATGAAGATTTCCTGAATACTTGAACCGAACAAAGGAAATTGTGATGTGAAGGAGATACGCTTAACATTGGATACCTTGTTTTAGCAAAATGTGAGTCTCATTGCAATGATATATTTACTATTTGTTGCTCTTTTTTTTCCCTCTCCTAATACCCACAAAAGTGGAAGGGTACTATGTAAGGCTAGTAATTGCTCAGAGCTCCTCAACTGTTCTACAAAATACAATTTACATAGAATATAAAATGCTATCGATTTCATGATGCACTGTTATTTTATGTACTGCTTATAAA